CTTTAAACAGGGGCCAGTAAGATGTTAAAAGTCAATACATCAATAACTGTCTTTCCTCAACAGTAAAGTTACTGCTTCATCACCAACATCTCCTCTTTCTATTTTCTCTTGTGTTGTTTCGACCCATATGGATCAGATGGTAGTTAGTAATGGGACATCCATCTTTTCTGTTCCTTCATCTGTCACATTCATTATCTCACACTCCACTGAGCAGACCTTGATGGCACACAGTGGGGTAACACATTTTACTACATCACTGCCACAACAAGGACTTTAATATCAAATATTATTTATATGTGATACTTGGAAACTCAAGCCAAATGGAATTTTGAAAGCCAAGATTTAATATTTAATGTCACCATAAACTAAGGAGAGTGTAGGCACGTTCAATTTCTTCAAGAAAACATAGGAATTGAAATTGTAGTCTCCTAAGCCTGATGCCAAAAGCCTAATGAAAGAACTGAGGTAGATGGATAACCCATAACACTAGAATTATCTTTGTAGTCTTGTGGATCAGGATTAGATTGTGTTTCCTCATGGTCAGATTAACATGTTTTAGGGATGAAGATAGATGAACGTATGAAAATAGAAAACTGGTTTCTGTGAACTTCCAAGTAGTGTTAGCTAGGAAGATATGGAACAGCGTCTTTAGATTTGATAGCCCTAACCCTAACACCATTGCATTGAAACTCTATATTAGTGCTGAAAACGAAAAAAAGGCCAAACAAAAAACATCCAAGTTTCAGATGAAGGATAAATGTAACAAACTAATATGTTTTGTTTTCTGATGTGTTTTAAATGTAAATCTTCAAAGATCACATGGGTTCGTGCTTGTGTCCTGGTGGATCTTTTCCAAACCAGACTAAGTTGACTTTAACGCAAGCCGTTTCTGTAAATAACTTTTAATTTATGATATTTACAGCTGTTTCAACCAAATTCCATTGCTAGGCTTGGGTCCATGTTTATTGCCTGCCAGTTGATGTCACCCACAATGATGAGAGCAGCGCTACATCACTGACTGGAGAAAATGCCCATAGTCCAGTGAAAACAAAGAATTGGCGACAAGCAGAACATATTGTTTTATATAGCCTAAAAGCTGCCATGTCGTGTATTGCATGTCAAACAACAGAAAATATCCAAAATGATAATTTTCTTTACGGAAAAATAAGATATATGTGTCTTCAGGCCATCCAAAGAGAGGATGCATAAACATGGGAAACACTTCCTCCCAGCTAAACTATGACGCTAACGAAACTAACATGAATCGTCAAAGTAATGTTGTAATGTTAAAAGTCAAGTAGTGAATGTAGATGCTGCATTGAAATATAAATCACTGACAAGCCAAGAAAATATAAAAAAAATAATAATAATAATAATAAAAAAAATAACAAAGAAAAAAAAAGAAAAAATCTGATTCTGATGTAAATTAAAGTGGACCTATTATGCTATATTGGAAAATATATATTGTAGGGCCATACCTATACAAATATAGGTCTGTGAAGTTTGTTGCTTAACATACCAAACAGTTCACCCATTTTAGCCATGCCTCATACTGCTCATACCCCTCTTGTGCAGCCCTGTTAGAGAAACGCGGATTTTGGATCCTTAACTTGAAAAAAAAAAGAGGAGGCGGAGCTAATGCCTGATCAGAATTCTACCGGAGATAAAGTTAAATTCTGTTGTGATAAAACGCCATCCTGTTCTAAACCACATCAAGGATTATTTCTGAAACAGTATGGAGCTCAAATGCTTTTTCTCTTGCAGGTTTATCACAAGGTGAGTTCCTTTTTATTTCCTGCTTTTTAAACACATGTGCTCTAGCACAGGTTAGCTCTGAGTGTTAGCGAGGCTTGCTAATGTAAACAAAGACGAGATTACGTCCAAAACACGTTAAAAACGCGTCAGGCATTGTTTCTGATAGCAATTTTATGTGGGTTCGCTGCCGATTTGACGTCAGATTGGCAGCAAATCTGTATCCGCTCGTTGTACCCCTGTTTTTAAAAGATTTGGGTACGGAGGAAAAGAGAGCAGGTTTTATTTTCTGACGCTGCGTGAGTTCCCCGACACACCGGGGGGGACACATATTTATGTATAAAAGACATCACAAAGTGCATTTTGCATGATAGGTCCCCTTTAATGTATATTGTCTTGTGTCTGACACGTTCTGAGAATGAACGTGCATATATTTACTTGTGTGCGCGAGCGTGACACGCATTTAAGTTAACCACAAGTTTACCTTGACTTTCTAATGCTTCTAATGCCATTTTTGCCGAGGTTTAAGGCATTGGCTACAGACAAACAGTGCCATTTCTCCCACTAGTTCAAGCCATGATACTGTATGTATGTATGTATTGAATATCTGTGTGTATACAGGGGCGCCGTTTACCGACAGGCAAGTGCTTGGACCAGAAGGGGGCCCCCAAATAAGGTAGATTAATCCAATCCAATCCAACTTTATTTATATAGCACTTCTAGTAACTTCCTGACCAAAGTACATGCATAGCGTGCCGAAACGGCTTCTTAATTTCAGTTTCGTTGCTCCGCTCCGGGGGTGTGGGGGGCTTTACTGGCATTGATCCGGACCATTGACCTTGTATAAAATTCACAAGTGGACCACTAACAAAAAAGTTTGAGTACCCCTGGCTACGATCAGAGCCTACGATCATTTCCTGATAACGAAAATACTGACGGGCTGTCAAGAGAGGGGGAGGAAAAGAGAGACTCCGTATATTATTCTTATATTATTACATAGATTCGTTATTCATTTGTTTTAAAGCTCAATAAATAACAAAGAAGACCTTAGACCGGCATTTTTATAATTTTGTCCGGAAGATTTAAACTTTAACGGACATGTTGACCGGCGAAGAAACATTCTAACGGAAACTCTGCTGCACGGTCCCCTCGTCCCTTGGAAGAGGCGGAGAGGTGGGTGTTTATCATCTGCTGGTGGACTACCGGAGAGATTTACAGCAGGAGCAAACGCTTGCCTCGGGGAGGGAGAAAAAGAGCCAGAGCCCTGGCCCCTGCCTCTCTCCCCACCTCTGCTGCTAAATCCACCGCGGAGAGTAAACAGAAGAGCAACCATGGCAACCATGCAATGCTCGTGAAGTCTTCTTCGCTGCTTTTGGTGTATTTTGTGGCAGAAGTATAGCGCCACTTACAGGCCCGGTGAGGGTCGGCTCTAGAACAAATCGAATGGGGGGGCAATCATTTACAAAGGGGGGGCACACACTGCCGTCAACAACCAACACACAAACACCAACGCAACTTCAAAAAACATGCTGTAAAGTCTATTGTCTTTCACACACATTGTAGTGCTATTGTATAGCGCACCTATGACTTGTGCATACATGCACGGTTGTGGCACGACCACCAAAACAGAAACATATAAGGACATAGGCCACCATATAAAAAGGGTGCAAATGTATTTAGTATCCTATCCATGTGAACATGTTTTAGGTGGGTGTGGACCTAACCTCCTCTAGGAGGGTCTGGGGGCATGCTCCCCCGGGAAGATTATTTTAAATATATTGAAGTTAAATGCATCAATCTGGTGCACTTTGAGAGCAACATTAGGAGATCTATGGATAGTCTACATCTCTCAGCATCAATATGAAACAGAACTGTACACAGATTTACTTTTTCTTTATGGATATTTTACTAATCATTCCCCTTTTAAACTGTATTATTGTGTTACTGTCGAGTAGTCCTCACAAATACTTGTTTACATAAATGGTGACCAAACCGTTTGAGACTCACTGAGATAACCTACACTAAAGTTAACTATCTAAACACTGAGAGATTCCTTACCTCACTGAGCTGAGGTTATACGATCCTCTCAGTCTGACAGGAGAGGACTGTCCTCCACCTTGGTGTAGAAACAGCTCTTTATATCCGTTAGCATAGCTAGCTAACCAGATGCTAACATCAACATTCCACGTTACCGCTTGCGCACTCACAAAATGCGCTCGTGCCACACACACACAGAGCCGAGCTTGAATGAAACACAGAGACCCAGAAGTAGGCTACTTGTACTGTACTGTATATCATATTCAGTGGCGGCGCCAGAGTATTTTTATTGGGTAGTCTATGGTAGGGCTAATCCCATACAGTGGTGGGGCTCAAATTAGTATTTGTAGCCTAATGTAATTACATACACGCAGGGCCGCCCCTCCCTACAGGCCAATCACGCAGGCTGCATGGGGCCCCGCCTTGCGCAGGGGGCCCCGCCCAGAGGGCCTCAGCTGCTGTGCGCAGTTCTCCGCTCAGTTCTCCGCGCACCCCCGCGAGAGTGAGAGGTAACAAGGGGAGCACGTGTGTAACCCGACACCGTTGCAATGAATCGACATCTGACCAATCACGGCTTTGATACGGCCACTAGTGCAGGTGAAGAGATGTCGGTGAAAAGACAGTTTCAGTCCGGGGCAAGCAAGAGGGGAAAAAAAACAAAACATGAAGAAACTAGAGCATCACTCGAAGGTGGGTTATTGTATAAGTCAAATTGCCAATTGCCATATTAAAACATCAGCTGCAATTCAGGACATGAAGAAGGCAGTCTCTGCATAGCATACAGGCTAATGGAGTTGCAGTTATTTCCAGCATTCTTTATTTACCATTCATTCAAGTATGTTATGCCTTTTATCTGCTGATGTACAGGAGGAAGAGTGATACACTGTCTGTTTAGTTGGCTTACATAACAGTTAAAGTTTGCAGCCTAAAAAACATGGAGCATTTTTTCCCCTTTTATTCATTTTTATTAGGGGTGCACCGAATGGGAAATTCTTGGCTGAAACCGATACCGAAAATAGGAAACAGTTGGCCGAAAACCGAATGCCGAAAGGCCGAAAATGATTAATAGAAATATATATATATAATGTATACATTTTTTACCAATGTTGTTCAGCTACCTGATTATGGAAATAGACATGATTATGGCAAAACTTAACTTAAATAATAATCACTATTATGGGTCCATAAAACATTTATTCAGCACTTTTGAA